AATGCAGCCAGTATGCTCTATCCTTAGCCACAATATATGGCTGTATGTATACAGATAAACTTGGCCCTATCAATACAATGGCTATTAAAGCATGATTTCCACTGTCATCTCAGCAGTGTTGGACTTTGCAAATGACACATTTTTTGTTAGAAACTAGCACAGTAACAATGCTTTTCAATATATTTGCAACTTTAACATCAAGTTTGCCAGATATTGATCCACTCATTAAATGTAATAAACTGATTGCTCCAGAGGTTGCTGCCAATTGCTGTATCAACTGATAGTGTATTGTATGCTGAGGTAATGCATTATTACAGCTCTGTTGAACAGGTGAAGTATTTCAGTTGTTAATAGCTTGGTACAGCATTCAAACCTATATTTCTGGCTGAACTTTTGACCAGTCAGAATCCAAGTTGACCAACATTTTCCCTCCAGACGTCATATGAGATTAAGTTCTTGACCTATCTGGCAATCTCATTTACAACAGGATTTGTCAGAAGTTTTGTTCATTCAGCTCCCTGAACTACTCATAATCTTTATACAAACAATTACATTGTGTTCCTTGACATCATCATGACCATTGCTTCATCATGTGAACTTTCTGATCTGGGACTAACAAAGGTAGCCTCTACTAATATTTGAGGATGAAGTCCTCCAACTATAAAGTCCATGCAGGTGGCTTCACCACTTTACTTCTATCACCTAAGTGAGTGCATGTGAACTTATTTTATTCATGTAATGTTTTAATTTAAAAGCTTGATTACTGAAATATGTATGTACAAATTCAAAGCATTTCTCCTTAGATACTTTGAATGTAATCATTTCAAATTGTGATTTCAGTGTATGAGTGTTGTGTGTGTATATATACACACACATTTCGGAAGGATAAGAAAACCATACTTACCTCAGTCTCTGTCAAGACAACCATCATTTTCAAATCACCAATGTGCTGATCTGTGACTTGGAGTTCCAAGTGACATTCTTTGCCTGCTCCTGCCACAGGATTTACATTAATTTGTGTTAGGTTTTGTTTTTGGTACTTGATTGGTTTAAAGTTAGTAAAGCTTACATATGTCCAAAATCACTCTCCAATCCACATTGTTGATTGTCTTTTTGTTGCATAAAAGTGTCACACAGTTTGCTACAACACGGATGAAGATTTTACATCAAAGTTTCCTGTGCGTATGTGATACTTGGACCACATACAAACACTACATTAAATAACTTGATTGATTTTATGACTGCTACTTTCATGAAATCTGCAACATCAAGTGGCAAGAGAAAATCCCAAACACCAAGTTTCTGCAGAGATGCTCAATCAATGGTGTGGAAAGCTTAATCATGAAAGCACAGCTTAGATGGGTGAGACATTTGGTTTGCATGAATGATCAATTAATTCCTAAAGCCCTGCAGCATAGCCAGCTGAAAGTGGGTAAAAGGCCCAAAGATGATACAAGAATATGCTTAAAAGACCATATTAAAGTATTTGGTATAAATCTTAGTTTGCACAAAGTGGCAAACAACATGCAATGCAGGTCTCAAGATACTAAAGAAGCAACATATCTCTAATGCCAAAATAAAGTGCTAGAAAAGAAAAGTGGCTGCTGTAATACCACTACTAATGAATGCTTACACTTGCAGCATCTGTGACAATGTCTGCCGTGCCCAAATCAGACTAATCTCTCACATGAGATGTCTAAAGCCTGTTGCTGAGAGCTCCCAAGTCATTCTGATGTAAGACCCCATTATACATATATATAACCTATAACATCATCCTTCTCTGACAGTTTGAATAATTAATATTACATGGAACTTGCAATCTATGTGCACAAGTGATTTATGTATAAGAAAAATTACTTTTTGTCTTTGATAACTTCAATACTTATTACTATCTTTAGATTCTGACTTCAGAATACAAGTTATATGTATATGAAACATTACCCTTCCTACATAACTTGATTAGTTATCACATTCTTTTCTTTTCATGACTTAGAAATGCTACACATTGATAAGTTGAATAGTTATCACTGCCTGCAGATTGTGACTTAGTATACAAGTGACATTTATGTTTTTGTGTGATAATTTGTAGTCATTCTAGAACAAAAAAGGCATAATTTATATTTCTGAATTTTTTATGGTGGTTAAGAGATCGGTCAAATTGACTGAACCTGTACAGAGATTTGGTAGTGAAAATAACAGAAGAAATATAGTTTTTTCTTAAGAAATGTTTGAGAACTATCTCAATGTTATCAAGATTTTGCATGTGAAATTTGAAAAATTTTCTGATGCATAAAAGCATTTTTAATCGTAAAATGAAAACTACTTAGTGTGTTGGATAGGCAACATGCGAAAAGAGAAAAAGCCTGCGAAAAACATTGCTTAACAAGTCTTAAGACTTAATGAAAAAATCTGATATTTTGCATATGAAAGCCTTGTAATGTTTACTGATAATCTGCCAAATGTCGTGAACATATGCTTAATAATTTAAGAGTTATAGCATAAAACTATAACAAGCACAAAATGGTTATGAGGTCAGTCTCAGACCGAGCCTGTGCTGAAAGAGTTGAGGAATGACCAGATTTGGTGTGGATAGTACATGCACACTGGAAGAGATGATGCTATTGTTTTCTCTATATACACTGACATAGGTCTCTGCAGTCCTAGAGAGAAATGTGTATCTTTTGTCTTGTGAATTTTTCTTTTTAGTGAGTTGTATTTTTGTCATGTTTTTACCTTATACAGTTTTTGTTTTTCCTTTACTGTTTTTACATTATTTTCATTTTGTTACTTCAGATTATTCAGAAATTCATATTTATTTCCACATAATATTTTCTCTTGTTCCTTCAACTATTACAGATAAGGAAATCAGTGCATCTGAGTATTATACCACATTTTCACAACTTCCAAGATACTTGATGAAATATATAGGTATTCCAGTATAAAATCAATAATAAAATGAAAACAGTTAAAATGGAATTTGGTTAAAAACTAGCACAAATTATGTAGAATTTAGCATTTCCTTAACATTAATACCAACATCACAATGAACAAAATATATGTGGGAATAGCACATAAATACAAGCTTGTAAAATTCATGTGACATATGATCTAAGTATAAGGAGGCAACAAAATGTCAATTAATAAGGGGCTTCAACTGTGAAATTAACTTTTTATTCTTCCATAAGTTTCTCCTGATTCCTCACATATGAATTTTGTATTTGTGGCTCAATATGCCAATGCTAAAATGCATCTAAAGGTGGATGTTCTTTTAACTGACCCATAATTCACAACCTGTTTCACCTATGTCAAAATATGGAAAATTCTGACAAAAACTTGGTAAATGCATTCATGTGTTGCAGTCTTGGGATTTTTAGATGGATGCTTTTTGGCCAGGTTTTGTAATGGATTTAACTGACCATTGTATCTTATACTTGCTAGCAATTTTGTCCCAATATTTCTTAATAGCAGTTGAAGCAGAATAAGCAATATACAGTAATACAACTGTAATTAAGAAATTTTCAACAGTTTTATTTACCATATATTCAGGGTAGAGCTCGGCGATTAATTAATTTAATTGATTATCTGTAATTATCCGTTACATCGACAAGTGTCAGGTAAGATAATGAATTAACCAAAATTATGATTAAAACTGATTAACGTCACAAAAATAATCAACTAATAAAAATTAGTGTTGTCTTTATTACCATTTTTGATTAATCTAACTTATGAGAGAAATCAATTAGTTGAAAGTAATGTAATTGTTCAATGAACTTGATGAATAATCAGTTACCATATTCTACTTATTGCCCAGGTTTAATTCATGGTACCCATTAACTTGCATGAAACATATTTTTTAGGAATTGAATTTCAAAGGTTTGTGTGCCATTACACATAACTTTCATTATGTAATAGATGTTTGATTATATCTAATTTATGAACAGTAGAGAGGGTTGATTTTAAGTGAACATACAAATTAGTGTGGGTGGGTTTATGATATATACAACAATAGAAATTATTGGTATTTCATGGAACTAAAACATTTAAAAGAGACAGTTCGGTATTGTAACTTTTTTAAGGTATATTGTTAATTACCCTAAAAGGGATTGCAATATGAAATTGATTTCTTTGATGTGATTTAAGCATGTAGTGTGAAATGCTGAAAGCATTTAGTGTAGCTCTATATCTTGTCCTTTCTCTGTTGCATTCTATGTTACTTGCTTGGATCATCTGATTAATTTAGTGGATGAACCTTTCCAGGTTTCCTTTAAGGAGTTAGATTTGTGAAATACTTTTCACTTCAGCTTCATTACCTGTCAGAAAGACAAGCATCAAAAATATGTTCTGCCTCAATCGGTATTAGATGGAATTCATGGTATCATGTTTTGATATGTCACAGCACTCCTTATCAATATCGCAGAGATCCTATAAGTACTGAAACAATAGTAAATTGACAAACAGGGATTTATAAGCATAATGAAGTTGTTTATTTTTGTGAGAACATACTGCATGTTTTAACAGAACATTGGTCTGTCTTCTTCAGGTATGATCTATATGTAGTATGTTCCCCCAAAATAAACCACTTCATCATGCTTATAAATCTCTTCTTTGTCAATTTATTATTATATTAGCATAATGTGCTTCCATACACAAATACTTGTGTACCATACAGATTACGAAATGCTGCTCTAGACTATAAATTTTGTATGTTTAAAGTTTTGCAAAGGTGTGTTATGGTGTATTATATACTGCATAGGTTTTTCTTCTGGTAATTACTGTGTGCATATCTAATAGTTATAATTTAAGAAGTAAAAAGTTTTGAATCTGTTTAAACTTTTGTATAGTTAACGTTTGCAAAATATACAAAATTATTTTACCATGCAACATTTGTTTTGTTGGAATGAAGGATTTTAATACAAGTATTATATCAGGAGACATAAACATGTTAACTGCTGTTTGATGTTACAATACATGACTATACAATTTTTTTTTTTAATTTTCAGAGAAAGGCAAAAGGATCAGAACCATTCGACAAAGTCTGTGCACAACTAAATCTTTTGGAAAAAGACTATTTTGGCATTACATTCAGAGATAATGAGGACAATAGAGTAAGTAGTCAGAGTATTTAAGTTATGAATCACTGCAGGTTTTAGAAATGTATCATTTTGAATTTTGAGAATATCCAGTTATATTTGAAAAATATTTCATTAGGCCAATTTGCTGACCTTATTATTCCAATTAGCCTATCTAATTAGTACAGTTTGTAAAGACATGAAATAGATGTAGCTCAGTTTGCTGAACTAAATTTTCCACTTTGATGAATTTGGTAGTCCTGTTTGGCAACTTCATTTGTCTGGTTTGTTAACTATGTAGTCTACTTTGCAAGTCTCACTTGGCTACTTTATGATCTAAATAGCCCAATTCACCAATGTCGGTTGATTAATATGTGATTTACATAGTCAGTGTGTAGGATTGTAGCCTGGCTTGCTGATCTCTGTAGTCCATTTTTTGGAAAATGCAGTTTAATTAAAAAAGGATTGTTTTCCATTTTGCCAGTACCACAAGTCCAGTGTGTTGATCCAATTCATTTTACCTTTAAGAGCTTTTATCCTGTGCCACTGCCAAAAAAAAAACATTTTTATGCCACTCTATTATGCAGTTGGAATTAGGCTCTAACCATCCACCTATGGGAGGGAAACAGATCCTTCATATGCAGTATTCCTCTTTAGCACATTGTGTATACCAAATACTCATTCTTTCTGAGACACTGTGTAGGCATTGTTAGAGAAGTAAGAATTTTTTTATTTACTTTTCCTGTTACAAATTACAAAATTTTGAAGCTTGTTATTTTAAACTTGTAGTTAAATCTTTCAACATGGGCTCGGTCGACTTGACCAACCACATGACCTCTTTGTCCTCATTTAAAGTCTTTACAGTTTTGATACTACTAAATTTTAATGTAGTATGTATATCTCCACAAAATTTGGCACACTTTCAGTAAATATTGTAAGTCTTTCACATACAAAGAATCGCATTTTTCAGTAAAGTATTTTTTTTTTTAGTAGTCCATGTGCAAAGTGATTTTCATGTTAAGATTAAAAATAATTTTCGTCATCTCATAAATCTCAAATTTCATTTGCATAATTTCTAGAACCTTCTAAATACATTTCAGTTGTTTGTTTTCAGTAAAATTTTATATTTTATCTGTTATTTTCTCTACCCTAATTCTGTACAAGGTTGGTCAATTTGACCGACCTTGTAACAACCAAAAAAAAAATCAAAATCAATCTAAATTACCTTTTTCTTTCTAGAATGACTTCAAATTGTAACATGAAATTACATTCATTTATCCTAAGTAGCTTTAAGTTCGTAACAGTATACCTCTATTTATAATTACATTTTATTGTTTTATTGCCCTTTGAACTGTGCCATTATAAGTTGTAAATCACTCGTGAACCATTTTAATTACATTATTATTATTATTACTTATTTTACCTAATCTAGTGTTAAATAACTTAAAAAGATCCTTATTTTTAGATTTTAGTTACTTTTATAATAATAAATAAAGAATAAATATGAAAAACAAGAAATAAAGTACTTACCAAATCTTCTTTTTCTTGCTGTCGGGTTTCCAAGAGAGTTGACCCTAATTTTTTATACTATAGATAATAATGCACTTAATAATTTGTATTTGATTAAATAGTGCACCAAAGAATATATACAAATAATATGCAAAAAGTAGACAAATTCGCTTACCTCTCAAAATTTTCCTGGCTTTCTAACTATGCGACAAGAGCCATTACAAATTCATACAAGCTAGTCGTTAACTTTCCCACAGGAACGAATCTTGTACTGTGAGTGAAATTGACAATATTCTGTTCATGATACAATATTATAGAATACATCATTTGATAAGTGAAAACCTTGACTTTCTATTAGTTATAGGTAATATATAATCAAACGTAAGAGAGAACTATCAATAAATTGTGAAAGAGAGGATGTGACAGGTAGGTGTGGCAGGAGGATCTTATTTTCTGTTTGATAGCTCTGAAACCAAACAAAATTGAAGGCTATAAAAATAGTGGTTTGTTTGAGCGATAATGATTTTAAAGAGAGTATTTTACGTTTCATTTCTTATTTTTTCGAGTGGTGGTGGATAAATTAGGGATGATTACACGCTAAGAGAAAATGTGTCACGTGGGTCACACTAGTGGAAATTCAGGATTTTTTAAAATATTGCCTTGTAGAATTAAGAACTTAAAACATATATACTATTAGAATATGGATTATTGCTAAGATTTTATGCTATTCTAATTGGCATAACATAAACAAAAAGTAGTTTTGAATGTGAGACACTAAAACCTTGTGTCATGCGCAGTAAAGGGTACTCGGGGCGATAGGGTTAAAGGAATGTCATAAGATCTAATGTATTTTAAAGCAAGCCACAGATTTCATGAGCTTCAAATGGTTTTGATAGTGTAATTTTGCAGTTGATAGTAGGGAAAAATATGAGCAACCACTATCTGTGCTATGATAAGCCTACCTTATTTTATTAGTGAGTTTTATGTTCAAACAAGGTAAATAAAAAATTGGAAATTTAAAAACCTGAAATAGGGATTGTAAAAAAAGTAAGCAAGTAAGGCTGGAGATATTGTAGACATTATTTACTCAAATTACAAACCCATATTTTGGCTCCATGCTGTTACCTAAAATTACATTTGGTGGAGTCAAAATGGAGATTTGTAGTCTGAGTAAATAATGTCTACAGTATCTTCAGCCTTGTTTGCATCCCTACTTGCAGGTTTTTAAATTCCAAAATTTTTATTTATCTTCTTTGCCTAGTTTTTTTTTTTTTATGCTCAACTATGGGCAAAAAATTACTTGATATAGTAGTTAGCTTATACGGTCCATGATGATTTACTATAGCTATTGACTATTTGATCGCATGAGTTTGACATGTAAAATGTTAAGCTGCAGCTGGAGATTGTCATGGAGACTTGTTTGGGAATGTCATGAGTATTTATAGTTTCTGTATATCTAAATTCTCTCTATATAATGCACAACAATGGGCAAATATGTGCCGAGACAAAGACACAACCCCCACTAAGCACATATAAAATTTTACTATTATTGGCTGGTAATTCCTGTTTCACATTGTAATTAAGATTTTTAAAGGAACACCAGATATTGGTAAGAAAGCTTACTTCAATGGGTAATGATAACATCAATTACACTAGAATTATGATGGTTTTAGCTTATGTAAGATATAGAAGAAATAAATTGACTTTTCAATACCCCTAAGGCCTTTGCAGTACATTATATGGTATTCTACAAAAGGTTTGGGTATAATATACCAAGCTGTTTTTGTTGTAGGCTGGCAAGAGAAGTAGAAGAATTGGAAATGGGTCATTTTGAGCAGATTTTCTTTTATTATTACTGCTATGTAGTATTTAGGTCTAAATTTATTGTTGTTTGTATATTTATTGAATAACTAAGTAAGTGGGTTCCTTTTCAAGCACTTTAAATATATACATTTTCTAACTGAAGTTTTAGGTCTAATATAAATTATCATTTATAAAATCTTGTCTTTGTTTAGCCAACCAAAGTACTGTAACTTTCTGACTGGTAATTAGGTAACCTACTTTAGAATATTTCAAAACTGCTAGCATAACTTTTAATACATTAATATTATCTGAAAGATAAAGTTAACCCAAATTTTCCAAACATTCTTGAACTGCATATTATTTCCAGATATTGTACTATATGCACAACACTTGTATGTTTTAAAAATTTGTTTTTTAAAAGCATCACAATTGAGCTCTTTCTCAGGGTATATTTATAATTATAAACACATTTTCAGAGAAAGTATTTTGATATTTGGAAGAATTTAGAAATAAACAATAGAACTCATCTTGACCATAACATGCAAAAACAAAACATTGGTAAAATTATACGAGACACCAATTAACCGTATCACAATGGGCTCGTGTATCTTAGATACCCTTGTAGCCACCATATAACCATGGTGGTATACATACTCTGCCTCTTAAATTATGTAATGTATCTTCATGAAATTTGGCAAGCTTTCAGTAAACATTAAAATTCTTTTGTAGAAAAATTCAGAATTTTAAATTAAGTATTTTTGTTAAACTTTGTAATTATATGGTGTCAGAGTGTTGACTACTCTGAGTGCAAGAAGTACGAAATTTAACGTAAATTACTCATTATAACATTGTCGTCACTCAGACAAAGCATAACTTTTATAGCCTTCAATCTTATTTGGTTACAGAACCATAAAATAGAAAATCAGACTCCTCTTGCCACACCCATCTGTCTCATCCTCTCTTTCAGAAATTGCAGTATTTCTCTCTGATGTTTAACACACTATTATTTATAACCAATAGGTAGTCAGTGTTTTATTCTATCAAATGACATATCATATTACATTGTTTTCTGTATAGAGAATCATAATTTTGCTTCAAGATTAAACTTTATTTCCATTGGAAACACATTGATGAGCTTAGCTGAATTTTTAACTGATCTTATTGCATAGATAGAAAGCCAGAAAAACTGATAGTTATGGGAGATTGTCTGCTTTTTGCATGTTGTTATTGTGTGTTTTTTGCTGCATTACTTAATTAAGTAAAAAATTATAGCACAATGGTACCATTGGTTTTAAAAAGTAGGGTTAAGTTTCATCAACAGCAAAAAAATAAAAGTCCCAATTAAGTACTTTATTTCTTCTTTTTCACATGTTTTCTTTCTTTATTATTATAAAAGCAACTAAAATGTAAAAATTAGAAACTTTTTAGGTTAGATAAGGTTAGATTAGGTAAAATATAGAATAATAACAATAAAAATTTTTCATGAGGTACACTTTTGAGAAACTTGTAAGCTTGTGCATTATGTAATTTGATGGGGTAACGTGAACTACATGTTTGCAAATGATTTAAAACTTCTGTGGTGGAGAATATTAGTTAGACACAGTTCAAAAGGAAATAAAACAATAAAAATTAAGTATAAGCAAATATATACTGTTAAGAGTTTAAAGCTATTTAGGATAGACAAATATAGTTTCATGTTATAATTTGAAGTCATTCTAGAAAGA